ACTGTGCTCTCAAAACCAACAGTTTGATTAGGAGAATAAGATCAGATATAGAGATGAGATAAAAGCCCACAAAACCCAGACCACCTTAACTGCTCAGGCTTCCTCCCGAGTTTCTGGAACTGCTCCAGAACCTGAAGCTGCGGTTGCGGCTGAACATATAGTCTGTGCCCAGCGATCACTGCTATGGGGCCATTTTCAAGGAAAGGCCCTATATGGAGTGGTGAACGGCAGCCCTGGGTTTCCGTCCACATTCCACAGTCCCCAGACCCCTGGCTGTTTACATGACCCTGTGCTTTTGGTTACAGTTCACAGGACTAGGGTGGATGTCCAAATCTAGCTGGACTAATCAGATCTTTCTCTGTGGAGAATCTGGAAGTGGGATTAAGATTCCAGTTCTATTTGGGTTGGTCTAAGAAAACTGAAACACTGCTGAGTGGAGGAGGAGGCCATGGGGGATCATCCTTTGTGCAACTCAATCTCTCTGCTTCCCAGTCCGTGGGGGGAAGACACTGCCAGCTCTGGAGGCCTGGCTGCGTTCCTGCCCTTGCATTTCCTGAAGTATCCTTGTATCTCCCTTGTTCCCTTAACTTGAATTGGATTCTGTTATTTACAAGAAAAGAATCCTAATTGGCAGGTCCAGTAACTGTAGTGGGGAATTTCCACTCTCCCAGCCAAAGGGAGTTCTGCCTATAGCCCATTCCATCTGTCCCCATGAAATGCCATCGGTCCCAGAGCCAGGTTTACTCACATGTTTCCAAGGGCAACTTCTCCCAACACGATTAAGCCTATCGGGTCTCCCTGAGACGTATGGCAGTAATTGGCACTCTTGGAGACCATGTCAGCGAAATAGATCCCTTTACCAAACATGTAGCCTGTCTGGAAGGTTGGAAAAGGGACAGCTGAGAATCTTCTGATGGGAAATTAGGAGCAGCTGTTCACTGAGTGCCAACATGAGCAAGCCACCCAGCTAAGTGCTGCAATCCATCACTTCTAATTCTCACAATGCCCATGCTGAGGAAATACCAAAGTTTTAGCTCACAAGCCAGGCTGCTCAGATCCTAGCTCTGCCAGGTGCCAAGGAGCTGCAAGAAGCTACGTAACCTTTCTGGACTCTACTTGCCTCTTTTAAGTGGGGAACATAATCTCATGGAGCTGCTGTGAGGATGGAATGAGCTCATCAATGTTACTTAAACTAGTGCCTGTCAACACCCAAGGAACGCAGGCTGGTATTTTTATTCCCTTTTGTAAGTGAAACACAAGGTTCACAAAGGGTAGGCCATTTGCCCGTTATACACTACTGCACAGCACCAGAGAGAATCATTTAAATCACTCTCCTCCTCGTTCTACAACTGTGAAACTAGAGGCTTGGAAGGCCCTGTCCAGCTGGACCCATCTAGAATCCAGCAGGTGGCATCACGACCCCTCGTGTCTGGGTAAAGCCTTACTTATTTATCACTACGTTTTCCTGCTGAAGACACTGACACTCAAGAGATGGCCCGGCTGGGAAGTGGTAGAGGTAGGCCTGGACTCAGCTTGGCCTGTAGCCACGTGTCTGTTCTTTGCTCGTCAACACACCCGATTAGCATTTGCAGCAGGCCCTGGCCTGGATGCTCTATCTCCTTTGTTCCAGAAACTGTGTTTGAAACTCCTGACAGGATCAGGGTCAGGAGGATAAAAGGGTGAAGGCCTAAAGAAAGGATGTCTGGCAGAATCCCCCTAAGCCAACTAGGCCTCTTACTCAAAGTTCTTTATGGAGACACCTGCAGAGACAGGTATTGCCCACCCCTCACTAGGCCAGGCACATACCACAGGTGCTTCAGGCGGGGCTATCCGAAGACCCTGGGACAGGATCCCGGCAAAGTTGGTGGTCCTGGACCCGTGCCACAGCAATCTTCGGTTATGAAGCTGCTTAAAGGGCTTGTAGCGCTGGCATTCGCCTTCACGCTCTATCTTAAAGATCTGGTTGTAGTAGTAAACAAAGGGAGGGACAAAAGAAGCCATTTGTTACTCTGGTTGACTGAAAGATAGGACTGGATACAGGAGAAATGACTGGCTGTCCCTAAGGCTAGAAGACTTAAGGTCTGCTGCAATGCAGAAAATGTTTTCCACAAGGCTGGGATGGAAGGTCAAGGTCTGGCCCAGCAGAGCCCAGCCATTGCTAGTTAGTATTACTGTGCAGCA